GCAAGGCTCCGGACAAAGGTGAAGTAATCGGTGTCATAGATGGCGCGGTTCCGCAGGAACTTCAGGTTGTTGTCGCGTATGATGTGCTGGATCCCCGGCGGCATGCGGTCCATGAACATCCCCCGGTGCTCCCCCTTGCGCACCAGCGCAGTCAGTTCGCTGAGACGATCGCCGTCGTGGTGTGGGACAGCTAGGGGGAACTGACTGGTTCCAAACTGGCGGGAAAACACAAGAAAGAGCTTTACTCGTCGATATGTAAACGATTTTGACAACAGGGGCTAAAGGACTCCGTGAGTGAAACTTGCGCAATCCCCCTGGCATGCCGGCAGTTTTTGTAGTCAGTTAGTATGGATATATACTTCTCAGAGTCCCTAACCAAAATGGAAGATTTCTATTGTTTTAGCAAAAGTGACCTTGACCTTTGACCTGTCAGCCTCAACAGACTGGATAAGGCTACCAAGAGCAACCCACAAACCAAATTTGAAGACTACAGGAACATGATTGTTTTTCTTCTTCTTTTCCAGCATCTACAAACATAGTCGGTGTAACAATATTTGCTATAAAATACTAACCCCCAAAATCCATCAATTTCTGCAAATTACAGAAAAAGCATAAAGATACCAGAAAGCTGAAATCTCTTAGATTTTTAACCCAACATTTTGGAGAAAACGTGTTAAAAGCTGTGAAAAAGAGTACTGTTTACAACTTACACGTGAATCTCGCCTTCGCTGTCTTGCTTGAGAAGTGTGATAATGTTGGGTAAAGAAAAACAACGAAATCCTTGTATGGAGAAAGCCCTGGTTCTTAAAAGACAAAATCGCCTCATGCCAACAACGTTATTAAAGTATCTTTTCATGGAATTTGAATGATACAATCCATTCCTTACTCTATAAGAAAAATATGTACATGTATAAAATTAAGTTTAACAAGACGTCATCACAACACTAGCAAAAACAATCTGACAAAATACAGAAAATATACAACTGGGTAAAATTGAGAATTTTTTATTCAAATCTTGCACTTCTTTGTCTCACGAAGTTGATCATGAAAGAAAATTTTTATTTAAAATACCAGGAATTTGTAATCAATATTTAAAATATATTTACATATATGTACACACATGTACATTATTGTCACTGACCAGCCCTTCAGTGTAAACTCTGCAGAAACCGTACGCTCAAATGTGTGTATGCATATGCCTCTTTAATTAGGGCCAGTTTAAACCAGTAGAGACTGGTTTGAACTGGTTCAAACCAGATTTGAACCAGTATTTCATATACCTGTACAATACACTAAGTTTACTGTCTGATCTACTAACCATGTCTTGCATTGTATCAAACAGTACTACATTACTTTAAAATGCAACTTTTTTTTATTCCTACTATTTTAGTGAATCAAAGTAGATTTTCACCTGATGGTTTTAAACTTTTTAAGGTCTCTAAAAATGTACAGTATTTTGCATTAAGGCAGACATTTTTTTCTTGTGCATTTTTATGTTAATTTTTTAATTTTTTCTGGTTATCAAGAAATCCTTTGACTGAGATTCGTTTTTTGTTTGTGTGTTTGTGTTTTTTTTTCATGACGGATCTTTGCATATCAATCCTCCCTAAAGATAGATATATAACATTGGATGGCTTTGAGGGGGATAGAAGAACATATTGCATGAGCTATGATGAGGGCACTATTGTTATAGCTAGTGCAATATATTCTTGTATCCCCCGGGAAAAAAAGCCATCCAATACTATTATTATTATTTATATCAAACTGACTTGATCAGCAAGAAATACCTTTCAAGACACTGTCTTTATTTCTGAAATTTCACCGAATGTTCTTTGCTTACCAAAGCAAATTTTGCGCTGCTCGAAGCTGCCATTGTGGCTGTTGACAACAGTGCGCGTATGTCATGCTGCGCGCTGCGTCCGTGCCAATGTGCAATGGTACCACGCTACGCTGTGCTGACTGGTTGACAACTGTGAGGTTCTACGCTCTTGATTGTGTGGGAACCAGCAAAAATTGTTAAAATGCCCGGATGAGGAAAATATCGAAAAATAATATTGTCCTCATCTGGGTACTTTGACTGACATAATATTGCAGTCGTCTGTGAACTTTTCATGACAGCATACAATACAGTGATTTATTTTTTATCACTGGAAGCCTGATATAAATAATAATATAGTTTAACTCTTTGGATACAAACCAAATTGCCTCAATTTTAACGAAAATGAAACAATGTGTACTATATGATCTTTGAACAGATATATCAAATGTTCGTATCTGGCGGGTGCAATTTTGGAACAATCTGCTCATTGCACACATAACCTATACAAAATTACAACTAAAAAAGGCTAAAGTTTTTTCTGCTTATCAAGGTTGCTTCACTGACGGCAGAAAATGAAAATAATTCAGGTGGAAACCTTAGCTGCAAGGTCTACTTTTCTGTAGCATAAAAAGCGTAGTTTGTAATGTCAGGTCAGTATTTAAAGCACAGTTAACATTACAAACAATTCAACAGACGAACAAAAATGCAACTTTACAACTTATGCTACAAGCATTAAAGCACCGCATCCTATGAACTTCAAATTAAATATGATTTCAGATTTTTTCTGATGGAATTTGACAACGGGTTAAAACAAATGGAATTACTGAACCAATTGAAAAAGTAAAACTTCATAACTACTTGAAACAAAATTTGGAACACAACAGAAAAATTGTGCAGATGTTAATTATGTTAAAGTGTGCAAGAACTCAGCCCCCTACATAAATGTCCATATGACCTTAACATTGGCCAGGTATTTTCATCTTCTCAATCGAAAAAATCCCACATACAACTGAACAACAAGAATAATGTTTTTCCCAACTTATCTCAATGGTGTCTTTATCTCGTTTTAAAATGAAAAATTGACATTTTGAATTTTTAACAAAAACCTACGTTGTATTTTTTCTTATGTACAAAGTATTTACATATGAAATAGTGAGGCATGATATTTACAATGGTGAAGAAGTTATTAAATTTACACAGAAAGGAATCTTCAATAATTAACGTATCGAGCAAAGCATCCCCCCCCCCAAAAAAAAGGAAAATTCAAATTTCATTTAATACTACTTGAAAAATAACTTGCATTGGTGTGTGTAACTATAAGTTATTCATTTTTACTTAAAACACACCGCTACCAATCTATCTACATGGAAGATACCGAAAATGCATATTAATTAGGTATTGCCATAGCGATACCACATGCAGTTGCGATTGGATGAAAGAGTGAAGGTACTCGCCTGGTATTGGATGCTTTCCTTTTTATGAATATTCATGCAATTCCTGGTACAATCTGATTGGTTCTCATGAAACGCATCGCGGTCAAAGGTTAATGATATACATGTAATCTATCTGGTTGCAACCAGTCGCAGCTAGTTTCAAATCTAGATCCAAAAATACTATCAAATTCTCTTTTCGCTGAGGCAGTTTTGAAAAGTTGCTAGATAGAGTACTCATGCTGTGTGAACATTTGAAAAATACAACCCGTTTTGTTGTCGTTGTTTTTAAAAACTATTTACAGCAGACAATAATGATGAAACAATTTATCCCACAAGCGTGAGTGGAACACGGAACAAAGTAGTGCGTCTGGGTACCAAATGCCACGAGGCTGAAGACCAAGTGGTATGTGGGACACAGACGCACCAAATTTTCCATTTTCCATGAGCGCGAGTGGAAAACGCATTTATCTTCAAGCCAACTTGACGCACAGTAAAGCTGGATTGAACGCGCGTGCACCCTGTACACGAACTTTCCAGCGGTTATCCTTTAACACATGCGTGCAGTAGGTACAGTGTGCATCTAAGAATAGTGCGATACCCAGACTGCGATATGGATAATGTTGTTGCCATGGATCGGTCAATCAGGATCGAGGATTCAAGTTTGCTCGAAGATGCCAGAATTCAGTATTTTTACAGCGAAGAATTTACTCTATGCATAGATTTCAGATTCAAAAATCTTTGTAGAGTTATTTGATCTAAAGTTATTTCAATGCATAAACTATTTGGCAACTTGATTTAATCAAGTGGGGTAATCAATAAACAGAAGAAAAAAAAGAAATTCACTGTAAATCCCGCAGCACTTTTGATAGAAAATTCCTGAATCCTACAAAATCAAACACAGTGCACAAAACAAATGGTCATTTTTGAAACTTCATAGGTGCATCAACCCCTGTGCCAAAAAAATAGCTAGGCCCAACTTTCCTCAATCCTATAAAATCCATCAAAAAAATTCTGATGGAATTTGTAGGACCAGGGAGTGGTAACAGTTAGAAATCGACCAAGTTACTTTGCAAAACATCCAATAAAAAGAATCATTGTGACAAAAGATTTAAATTCGGGTTTCTATAGAATTTTGTCACTTTTGCATCCCTTGCTAAACTGCTGTGAGACTTTACGGTAAAACGACACACATACCATGCTACAAATTGTGTCCGTATAAAATTATTGCTTCTACAATCTACACTCAAGTCCAAATAAAAAAAAAATAACAAACCAAGTTTGTCCTATATTGGCTTAAAGAGGTTGTGGAATGCTCGAAGACATTTCCGTCATTTTTCGGATATATGTAGCCTAAGGTGTGATGAAATAAAAACGACTATTGTTTCTGTCATAAAATGAGTACAAAAGGTACTTTTGAGAGCTGTTTTTCAAGTCCTGTCACGCCTGTTTCGACCCGAACGTGCAATTTGTGTAAAAGTCGTCGTTGCGGGCAGCAAACAAAACACAGTAAATCGTGACGTAATAAACAGGACTCCCGATGCAGAGTAGCATAAACGAGTCCTGTTTATTACGTCACAATTTACTGTGTTTTGTTTGCTGCCCGCAATGACGACTTTTACAGAAATTGCACGTTCGGGTCGAAACAGGACCTGAAAAATAGCTCTCAAAAGTACCCTTTGTACTCATTTCATGACAGAAATAATAGTTGTTTTTATTTCATCACACCTTAGGCTACATATACCCCAAAAATGACGGAAATGTCTTCGAGCATTCCACAACCTCTTTAAAATAGAAGAAATTGTGCGACACACAAAATTATGGCTTACAGTGACTAGAGTGAATGATTTGAACAGGAACAGGAACAGTGGCCAACAGAAATCTGGTAAGCATGGAAAATATCTGCTCAGCAAATACAGGTTTCTCAAGGTACAAAGCATGCAAATTATTATAACTTCTGACTTGCTTGGGCAAAAAATATTGTTATTTTAAAAGCATTCATTGTCTGCTTTGAACACCCTATGCAAACAGACTTTCTGTGCCAAGTTGTCCTTTCAGTCAAGTGGCTGTTTTCAACAATTGAGAGCTCCCAGCCTAGGTAAAGCAGGATTGACCTAGTAGATAGTGAAGTGAACCATGGATCGCAAGATGGTTTGAACCCTTGTCCAATTTTATGAAATATTTGTGTTGGTTGGCATAAGTTAAATGCAGGGAAAACACTACAAAAACCTAAGTGTCTTCCATCCACAGAGCGTGATAAATATTCATGTTAGGGTGCGTGATGTGATTGGTTAATACGATGTGTCAGCAAAAAAAAGAGGCGCAACCTGGCCCTTGGTTTCCTACGACCTGACCTGTGATGACCTCTGACTTATGACCCCAGGAGTAAGGAACCATCTTCTATTGGCTACAAATTCTGAAACAGAAAAAAAAAACGCCGTTATGTATCAATGTCGTCCAAGTCGCCCACGTCGTCCTGAACCAGCGTCTTGGAAGACTCTGAGCTGTCTTCATTCCCGTTGACCTCTGACCCCTCTGACGACCCGTTGACCTCCATCTTGGTGTTGGAGTCCCCCTCGACGTACTCCTCCTCCTCTTCGTCGTTCTCGATGTGTTCACCGTCGTCGTCACGGGTGTTGAGCTCGTCCAGCAGCGCGGTGGCTTCGGCCAGCGTGTCCTGAGCACTCATGGTGCGTTGGAAGGACCGTCCCGTGCTCGATTCGTTGGAGACGTTCTGAGGTGTCCAGTAGTGCTCACTCATCTATGCAAAACAGCAACATAAACAAAATAAGCACATTAATTGTCTAGTCTTGATAGAAAGTTGCTATGGATTTCTTGTATAAAATTGTAAAAAATGTGTCAATTTACAGATCGTTGGAAATCACATACATTTCTTAATTTCTTCTAAATGACGGCAAGCTAGACAGAATTTCACTAGGCCTTTAATACATAAGATTTTTGATAATAATCAGCTAGATAACTTCTGGGAGAAATGCAAATTATCCTATGTGCCTTCAAGTCGGCTTGCTTACAAGTAACCATGGACGAACTACAGTTTATAATAATTAGCTTGTCTTTTCACTTGGTTAACTTTGAAAATTAAACCTTTTGACTCGGAGATGTTATACCCGGTTAACTGACCTTTCAAAAAACTACATATTGAGGAGAGGTTCTTACCTTTTTCTTGAGCCAATTGACCGCCCACTGCCACCGGACCGAGATGGTCATCAGATACTCTTTGGCCATGGAGCATTTGTTGGACAGATGGACCAGGAATTTGATGCACTGGTAGGACCGACGGCTGTCCGTGGACGTACATTTACGGATGATCTCTGTGAGACAATAGCACAGAAATATTGAGATTAATTTTCACGATGAAAAAGTCAGTTTGCAAGGAAGTTAGTTCACAAAAGTTTTTCAGCTTGTACGTAACAATACATTTTTGGTCTAAAGTGTGACAATTCTTGTCCCTGTTACCTTGGGTGTTTAAAAAAAAACATGAATTAAAATTGTTGAAAAAAATCAATGGAAATATATATTTTTTTTTAACTTGTTTTGACTCTTTGACCGAAAAGATATTTGTGAATGGGAATAAATATGTGCTTGGCTGGTATTAAACAAGCCTGTTTATGACTGGCTAGGGGCCTTGTCGCTACTAAGATCCCTCCCTTCAGCTCGGGCTATTATCAGCGTCCATTCCCCCAGCCAGTCTTAAACGGACTCGTTTAAAACCAGTCAATTACACATTTATTACCTTATTCAAGTAGCATTAAGAATGACTTTAAACATTTTATTTGTTGGGTAGGTAGTTTGCTATTCACAATCACTCTTGGAGGATGACTGCATCAAGGAGTGCATGAGAATTATATCATCACAGATATCAGATGTAACAGGCACATGAAAAAAGTGGCCCCCACATTGATACAATAATCCATATGTCTTGGCCTCCCAAGATGGCGTCCGAGTGGCTTCACCCTACCTAGGTCAGTATATACAGAGATGAGTGCTCCTTACCCAAGAGGCCATTGTTGTTGTTGCCTTCCACGGCTAGCTTGAGGCGCTTGCCCTGCAGGGGGTCCTCCATCATCAACAGCTCCAGGAGGAGAATCAAGATGTGCTTCAGCTCATTGGTGGGCGCCGAGGACACCTGACCCTGTATCGACCAATCAGGGCGGAGAGACAATAAATGAAAAAAAAATCAATACAACAAAGAGAAAAAATTCTGGCAAATATTGTAGCGTTTCAAATTTCAATATCCCTTGTTATATTTAAAAGGTCCATAGGATCATTTTTTACTTTTTGTCGTTAAATACGTTTCTGGGTCATTGCCAACATTCCTACATCAACGTGCCTTTAATAACATTCAAATACTGCAGACAGTAAGAAATTATCGCTTGGCACAGTAAAATTAAACGAGAAATTTTTAACGAACCGTCTGCACAAACCATCTGCACAAAGCATTTCCTTGACACAAATTAAACACAAATGGCACCCATTCACAGATTCAACTCATAGCAAGCTTTTCAACAATAACTTTGTCAGTTTCTTTTTGTAAAGCTGCAAATGATCTACTCTACCTTTAAAACAATGTTCATAAATATGAATGAGACACAGAATGAAAACTCTGCCCTTCTTAACAAATTTTGAATTACTTGCTGAACGACAATCTCGAAGGTTGCAGATGTCCTCAATCCCCCCCCCCCTTTCCAAAAAAAATGTTGGTCTTTTGGAGGATTAAAATAAAAACATACAGTACAAATTAAACATTTGCTGGATCAACTTGAATTGTAAGGAATTGTACTTACGTGGATCATCATCATGACGGACAAGGTGAACGTGTCGTTGCAGTAGCAGCAATGCAGCAGCATGTCGAGCAGTGCAGTGGTTGCATTGGGTACTTCACGGAACATCAGTATGACCTGCAAATGTTTTGGTAGAATAGCATTTGTACATTCATTACATTTGAATGTTTTAACATTTCTTGAAGCATTAATTCGTACGAGGTGCAACTGATTACCATCTGATATAAGGGGCATTCCACCGGGTTGGGAAACAGTGCATCGTACATCCAAATAATTGGTTATATTATTAAAAGTATCAATGCATTCTAAACAATTGCTTAACATAAAATTTGTCTGAGGGTGTTTTAATAATTGTGAAAGTTTGAAATCATTTGAATGGACTTTGACAAAAATATGAGCAAAAATGAATTATTCGAATGTAACGGTGACAGTGTCAATGTTACAACCAAATACTTTTTTGGGGGGGGCCGTTTTTTTTGGACACATGTAAAATAATACCCAAACTGACATTGCATATTTATAACTGGACACCTAATGCACCAAGAAAAGCTTTTGTTTTGGTATAGTCAGGGTTCAAATATAGCAGAAATGATATCTTTAATGTAGACGTAACGGTGTCACAATCACTCAGTGGAAGTGTGACATTTGGGGTTGACACGGTGTTACGTTCACAACCAAGCTATCATTTCTGCTCCATTTGATACCCGACTACCATAACAAAAAATAACAAAAAGTTTTTCTTGGTGTGTCGCATGTATAGTAAGAAGTACATAAAGTGAATTTGGGAAATGCTTTACAGAAATTTCATTGAAACGGCGTCAATGTTAGGTCCAAATGACATTTTTGCTCATATTTTTGGCAAAATACATGCGAATGATTTAAAACTTTCTGCAGTGGTGAAACACCCAACAATAAATATTATGTAGAGCAACTGCAAGCACGGCATTCATACTTTTCATAATATGGTCATATGTCACACATTGTTTACCAACCCGGTGGAATGACCCATAAAGGTTATCCTCATAAACATTTGATAAATTGTAATACACCAATCCGTCTGCCTACATGCACAGGAGCAGCCGGGTACAATGTACAAGTACCACTGAACACCTAGCCACAACCAACAACAATAGGCCAGAGGTGTCTCATAAAAAGCTATTCACAAAAACCTGGGAATTTCCCATATGAGAAATTGTGTTCATGAGGAAACAGTTCAACTGTGACGTCACAACGACAGCCGTTGCTGTGCACTTGACTCTACAAGGCACTATTCACTATTGGACAATCTGTGTGCACAACATACAGTCGTGCTGTTGTAGTAATAGTAGGGTGCGGCTGATACTGCCGACAGATTGCATGCAGGAAACGACTTCAAACTGACCCATAAACAGGCCTGTTGAACTTGTAGGTAAGTGGACAATGTTAAAGGGAATATACAACATTTGCCTTTGCTGTAATTTTCAGAAATGGATGGATTTTGGGGGTTAGTATTTTACAGCAAATGTTGTTACACTGACTTGTTTGATGTTTTGGGTTTGTAGATGCTAGAAAAACCAAGAAAAACATTCATGTTCTTGTAGTCTGGTTCCCTGACACCACTTAAATTGAAATGGAGCAATTTATAGACGTCGGGGAATTGTAAGGTCAGGGAACCAGTCTAAAAGGCTTGTACCCGTTCATAGATGTGTGATGATTGCAAACAATATTCAGACTAACTAAATATGGTATCTGGGCAGTAATTGGAAAAAAGCCAGTTTTTTTTCTCCAGTGAAAGTGATACAAAAATACCACTATTCTTGAAAATGTCAGCACACAAGGTGCCACGATTTTACAGGATGCTTTGGACTGTCATTCGCCAACAGTCCAGTAAGCTATTTCATAATAACTTGGTAGTTTTGTTTTTGATGTTTGCAAATGTTGTACCGTATATATTCCCTTTGATGCAGCCACACAGGCGAGAATAATAAATAACACTATGACAGACTGCATATGCTCTCATGTATCCAAGAAGAAGAAATATTGACTGTCATGATGTTCTTTGATTATTTACCTTCATATTGTTATGTGCATGAAACTGAAGTGATTGAAATACATATTTACATCTACAGGTATACAAACTGTTCGTGAACTACAGTGGAACGCCGCTTTACCGAACACCGCTTTACCGAACACCGCTATACTGAACATTCGGCAATACCGAACATCATCCTTGGCTCCCGGTTTCAATGTACAAAACGTACTGAACATTGTTGTTTAAAACAGTCAACAGATTAACAAAAAAATGTACCGATTGTTCATGTATTAAACACTATTTGGCCACTTTTAATTCCCGAACATCAAACGACCCATAGTTACATCGTGAGTGAATGGCGACGAGCGACAGCTATTATTTCCCCAAGGAATACAATTAAGGGAAAAACAACCGGTCCAAGGAATAAAAGGGAAAACCACCTATAGCTAAAGCTTCGTGTTGACTCCTCGTGCAGCCGCGGGATGTGAGAAATGCCAGTTCAGTATTGGTCAAAAGAGGGTACCAGCAGTTCAAAATCACTATACCAAACGATCATTATTAGTATTACGAACACTTTCTGAGGAGCCAACGATGTTCGTTTTAGCTGCGTTCCGCTGTATACTGAACATGAGTCAGTCTATATACAGCATCTTATAGTATGCATATTAGTTGAAAGTTCGTTTTTGCTTCCACTCTTATATGGTACATGTAGAGTCCAACTGAGCAAGATGGCAGAGGGAGGTGTGACCGATCTAGTCTTGGATGAGACTCAGAAGGAACTTCAAGAATGTCCTATCTGTTACACTGAGTACAGGGATCCCAGGATGCTAGACTGCTCACACAGCTTCTGCCTGAAATGTCTGCAAGAACTCAGACTGACACAAAATAAGGACGACAAGAATATCGTCTGCCCGTTGTGTCGAAAGGAAACTGCCCTGACTGAAGCTGGCGTGGACATGCTACCTGGAGGAACAAAGGATGTCAATCAACAGGAACAGACTGAAGGTCAGGGGTTAAAAGTCATGTGTCAGGCATGCGATGAGGAAAATGAAGCCATTTCTCGATGTATGGATTGCAAGCATTATCTCTGTCAAGAATGCCAGAAGGCACACAATCGATTGGCATCACTGAGGGCTCACAAGATTGTAGCTTTGACAGAGCTACATGTTGAGTCCCAAGAAATAACTGACACTGAACTCAAGAAAGTTCCCAAGTGTCGCGAGCATCCAGATCAAGATCTCTGTCTGTATTGTAACACATGTGACATCCTCATATGCAATGAATGCACAACCTTTGACCACAAAGAATCCATGCATTCTTATGAAGGTATCGACGAGGCATTCCACAAATGTAAACAAGAAATAAATGAATCCGTATCTAAAACAGAAGAATGCATTCAAAAATTTGCTTCTGTCAACCCCTCTTCAGGTCATTCACGTTACAGACTTGACAAGATGCTGGCAAAAAGTTACTCTCAAATTTCACAGAAAGCAGAAAAGGAAATTGCCAAAATCAGAGAGAAAGAAAAACAACTCAAAATGGAGGCCAGGGCCATTGCCACTAAACGAGATAAACAATTTGCATATGCGGTAGCGTCTGAGAAGACTCTGGGTAAAGTGAATGAAGTGATGACTACAGCAACGTGCTATGAGATCCTGGAGTCCAAGAAGAAAATGCTGCGGGATTTGAATGAGCAGGTGGAGGTGCATAAGAGTTTGGATATCAAGCATGGGAAGTCATTCCTTGGCTTTAAGGAGAGTGAAGAGGTTGGTCAGCTTGGGACTCTACTCTTGGAGGAGAAATGGGAGACGTATAAGACCATAACAGCCATAACTAGTGCAGACCATCTTGCAGCATACTCCACAAGTGAAATGGTTTTGGCATACAGTGACAAACTGCTTACATTGGATCCAGAGGGGAAGGTGATTTCTACAAAGACCTACAAACGTGACCCTGATAAACCAAACGAACCCCATGGCCCTAATGACATACAGAAAGCAACAGCTCTAGCCATCAACAAGGATGATCAACTTCTGATCCTAGACAATCCTGCAGTCAAGATCTTCAATAAGGAATACCAGCTCCTTCATCAGTTCCTACCGGGTAAGGAGGCCGGCGTGGACGGCACGCCGACGTGCCTGGCAGTGGACAGCAGCAATCTGATAGCAGTGGGTTACGAGGACAAGGAACAGATATCTCTACACAACCCAGATGGTTCCCTCGTCAGAACACTGCCTGCTCCAAAGATTGATACGCATTTGATCTTCAGCAACAAGCAACTTATTTACACCAACATTAAGGAGGGTTTGCTGATGGCTGTTGACTTACATGGCAACAAACTGTTTACTCAAAGTTGTAGTGATCCTCGTGGGCTGTGTTGTGATGATGCAGGTGATATTTACCTTTTGGCCTCAGATCAAATCGGCCATTTCAGTGCAGATGGCAAGTGCATTGCTTCATGGGACTGTCAGGGTAAATCTGATATCACATACACACCTGCACATAAATTAGCAGTTACAGGTAAAGTAGAGTGGTACAGTTACCTGAACATGTATTACTTGGTTTAGAGATATCAACCAACATGTAATTGTTCAAACGATCAAAATAAAAGGCAGGGAATAAAAAATAAACGAATATACGAAAATGGTATCAAGACAATTTATATCTTCAAAACATCCATGAAAATTATTGATGCTCCATGCATCCATGGACATGTGAAATGTACAGAAACTTTCTGATTGCAACTTCACAAACAGGACAGACTTCAAACACTTTGAGCAGGATATGGGATTGTATACATGTGCATAGAAAGTTTACATGTGTTATATTACATTTAGTATCTTACACATGTACATCAACCGTAGTCATATGTGCAAACTTATTTGGAGCTTGTACAGTTGTACATACTTCCATGTGTTTAAATGGAAGTGCTAGTTTGATATATTTTTTTAAACTTCCCATTTCCCAAAATGACATGTCCCAAACTCATAACATCGCCTCAGAAATATAACTATAAATGTTTTACATGAGGTGTTCTATGTACATTGTAGGTTGAAAAAAAAAAACATAATTATTTCCAATTAGTCTAAAAAAAAAAAACCCGCAT